TTTTTTATGTGGGGTTCCCCCACTTTTTTCCCAAAAAAAGGGGTCCCCCCCCTTTTTTTGTCCCCCCCCCCCCCCCGGGTCCGGGGAAACCCCGGGGTGCTCCCCCCCGGTTTGGTAGGGGGGGGGGTTTTAAGGATTCCGGCCTCCATGATTTGGGGTCCCCCCCCCCCCCCCCCCCTGTATATACCCCCCCCTCTATATACATTGCTGGAGCCGGTGCCGGTGGCACATCTTTCAGGGCTTAAAACATGCTGCCACCAAGGGTTTAGATTGTTCCTTGACAGGGGAATTTGTTTGCTACAGAGCGCGTCCTGGAATAGCTTGTTATCCGCAATAGATCCGTTGGCGCTGGGCTGGGATCACACGCCGAGCTTTCACATGTGGTTGAGCCAAAATGCCGAGAAACAATGTGGTACGAAAGCTACGAAAAAGTTGTTGCGTACAGAGGATGGCGCGTCGACTTTTTGGGCGCTTAGTTGTTGCGTGACGAAACAATGATGTCGTTCCAGTCTCTCGTACAATTTTAAGCGATCAACAGAGGAACAATGAACGACCCAGAACAATCACACAAACAATATCGATCAACACTTTTGATGTAGAAGCGTTAGGAACAGTGGCCCCAAACGGTCATTGAGACTTCGCAGCAAGAAGGTGACATGTCGGACAAAAAGAAATCGAAACGCAGAGCCCACCACTCGCACTCGACACGCGAGGCCAAGCAACAAGGCAACCGAACAAAATGAACCAAAGATAACCAAATCGCATGAATCTGAACCTGTCATTGTCCCCCTACATTGGCCGGGCTGTATTATCTAACCGCCGGGTTTGCACCGGAAGCGCTGGGGAAATTGGGACCTTGATTCGTGAACAGGTACCATCATTAACAATCAATAGTTGACACTTTTTTTTTTGGCATAGTCATGGTCATAGTCTGCTGATCTCGTACTCTTGCTCGGTATTGCGGTTACAGGGTAGGGAGCAGGAGGGCTCCTGCCCTCTCCTGCGGGAAGCGTGGCGGGAGGGTCGAAGACGTGTCTTGGAAGCCAAGGGCTTGCCTCTCACGGAGGCTTGCGTGAAGGGATCGTACAAGTCGATTCCCCGACATTAGTGCAAGTAATAGTACATGTGTTGGTTGATGTGGATGTTGGCTGTCGCAGGACTGCGGTAGATGTTGGTGAATGGCAAGGTTAGATGTCGTTAATAAACTTTAAAAGTTTTTTCGTCAGCCCCTATTTAAGAGGCTTGTTTTTGTGGTGGTAGGAGACGGAGTGGTTTCAGCGTAGTTCTTCCTCCCGTTGTGTGCTGTTGGCCCCTTGCCCATCTTTAACCGCCCCGTCAAAGACCCCGAACACTGCTGTTGCATCGTTACATGTGGCATCCGGCGGGGGGTTGCGTTGTGCGCTACAGAGGCCTGGTTCAGTAGCATCTAGGGCGGGGGAGGTCCCCGATTCGTCCCAGAGGAAACGAAGTTCGTGCTGTGCCTATAGGGTCCCGCTGAGTGCCTCATCTCACACGCGATTCACACCTGCACATTGTAGGAGTGCCGTGTTTGTTTTTGCTATTTTTGACGTGCCTTCAATGATCGCTGTTTGGAACCGCTGTCTTTGAGCATGCTTGCCCTCGTCTTGGCGCAACTGTAAGAGGTGAGGTGAGGTGGACGAACTTCGGAGCTGTGAGCGGGCCGGTTGCTTTGTCACCCGCCGACGTCGCGCCTTTTTCATCACCAAAAAAGTACCGAGACTCTCAGTGGGGTCCGGTAAATACCGGCGGACTCTTCGGTAGGGCGTATGCCGGCGGTATGCCTCGGTACGCACCCTTCGGAATGCACCCGTGGAAGGTTGCCTTGTGAAACGTGAGCAACAAATACCCCTAGCTATGTATCGGGAGCGCTTCCGCGTGTTCGATAGTCTATGCCACCTGCCTTCAACGGGTTGTTCCCCCCCCGAAAGCCGTAGAATGAATATGATCTTGTGTGATTCGAAGGGCAGTGTACCTTGTGTGATTTCGAAGTGCAGTGTACAAGTACGTGTGGATCGTTCCGTGAGACACCCACGCGTGTGTGGCTGAGGTATCCCGCAGGCTTGCATGACATCAGCCAGCGCATCAAGCACAACCCAAATAGGCGGCTCTGCCCGTCAACCCACCACGTCGAAAACCGATACAATTGTACCTGAATGCGTGTAGTTGTGTGCGAGTTCCGGTGGCGTCAGTTTGTTGTGGCGTTTTGACGATGCGAGGAAGCGGATTCACGTTATCTACGATACGAGGTTGTGTGGGGAGCATCACAAACACCCATCCATCCCTCCTGTAGAACCCGAGATCACATGCCCCGTACATCGATACAACAATGGCTTGTTGTTTGTATGGAGACTAGATAGTAGTGTCGCTCCGTGTCTGTCTGCGTACAATAGTAGGGATGACCTGGTTTACACACACGGCAAGGCAATAGTCTACGCCACAATCTTCTCATGGTCGAACTTTCGCGATCATCCCCTCCCCACATCATAGAGACCTCACATGAATCCACACCCGAAACCATGAATAGTCTCAGTCCAGCCATCGTGCCGTTCACACGGCCCTTCGACACGCTCAACATGAAATCCAACGGAAAAGAAAGATTCACCATCCTGAGATGCGTGGCGCTTAGCTGGGGAACGTACGTACGTACGCGATCCGCTGCTTTGGTGACATCCGAAAAAGGTCTTTGTCCGCTTGTCCGGTTCGCATTGGAGGGATTGATTTAGCGTCCAACAGGCTTTCACCCCCTCGCCCTCCCCTACAACACAGCCCGATACAATTTCAGACATAAATTTAGACTCCAAAAGACGCGACATAAGTCCAGTACCCAGCCGGTTTTCCTCCACTCACTGAAAAGACTGCAACACATCCCGTTCGACTGTGGGTATATCTCAAATGGGTAGTCTTTCTGTGTGTGTGTTTATTTTCCTAATAATCCACATGAAAAAAAAACGCCGGCCAGAATATAGATCTGCCCCCCCTTTAAACGACTGTGCACAGAAGTCTCGGGTAGAAGCCAGGGACACCCTCTCGATAATACCTCAACTGCAGATACCCAAACCTCCGTGAAGCCCATCTCTCACCCACTTCGCAAATAAAATCGCCCGAAATCGAAAAGTGACGCCCCGCCCCCGCCCCCGCCCCGCCACCGCGCGCAAACCCGCGAAGTCCCCGGGGAGAGGAGCAACGTCGAGTTACAAAACAGAAAAGCTCAAGCAAGAAAAGAGGATAAGCCCGGTACCACTGACTGCGATCGACCTACTGTAGAGGACATGGCCCAAGGGGGCAGGGGGGTGGGTGGTCTTCCACCATCAACGGCATCTACGGTGCTTGTTTGAAGTCCTCGCCGAAGCACAAGCCCTACGACAGACACAACGCGGTGAATTTAGACCAAAAAACCAACGACCAAGCATTCATTGCAAAAACACACCAAAAACACACGACACAGCATGGTACAAGACAGGGAGACCCGTTCGCGCCGTTACCGGGAGATGATGACAGCAGCTTCCCGGAAAAAAAAAAAAAGTAACGCAACGTAACGTTATGTCCGAATGAACGCCTCTGTCTCACTAAAAAACGGCAACAGTCCGTGAGGGGCGCTGGTGTTGCGGAAAACGACGTACGGCGGCGGCCCTTGTGGTCCGAGAAGGCTATAATTTCCCGGACACATATTTGACAGCGAACGAGTTTCAACAGAGCAAAAAAAAACAGAAAACATGACATAAAAAGAAGATGCACCACCACAAAAAAAGATCGCGAAAATCAAAACGCACGTTTCGGTTGGAAGGGTTTACACAGAACAGGAACAAGACTCGACGACGGTGCGTCATCATGTCATCATGGTCGCGCTGACCCCGGGGCCCCAGCGGCTGATGAGCGCGCACCCTGATCGCAAAAGACGTGGCAGGCGGGGGCATGGCGTAAGGCGTATTGACAATTCGGAGGGGAGTCTAAGTGGAAACTGCAACTTCATACGGCAGTAGCAGCAGCACAAGAGGCCCGGTATACCACAAAAAGAAGGCAATATTTAGGCCCATGAGATACTACACAACAGGGCGAGGAAGAGGCGGTGCTGGGAACAGGAGGTCAGGTCAAAACGGAAACCCAACGATAAGTGTAACAACAACAACCACCACGGACACAGACCCAGCAGCGACACCGCTATATCCACGTACCAGACAAAACGCCTGGACAGAACGCACGCCAAGTTGGAACATTGTCCAAACACACAAGCATCCATGGCTTGTTCGCCTCACGCAAGGGAAACACATCGTTCGGGCAACAACATCTGAAATTACCTTTCTTCGCGGCCTGGGCATTGGTAGGGGTCGGAAGACCTCTCCCAAGGTCTCCTTGAAGCAGTTAACGTTGTACTCGATCAGACCCTCCTTGTCGTTGAAGTGGTCTGCTTGCATCAGGCACACCAGTGCTAAGTAGCTGCGAAGAAGAAGAAGAAGAAGAGACGAGGGGGAAAAGGAGGGAAAGCACGGGCTTAAAACGCAACAGGACACGAACCTTTACGTCACGTACTTGAAGGCATCGCTACAATTTTGGGGAAGACGTATCAGTCAAGACGAAAGCCCAGCGCCAAGAGTAACGCGGCGGGAGGGCAGTGGTGAGTAAAGGAGGGGGAAAACGGTGCAGCGCGGCATCCCACGGAAAAAAAAAAACTACTCCTGCTTTTACTTATTCGGGAACAGGAATGTACCTTCCATTTCTGACTATATTCGTGGCTCCGATGTAAGATGGTAACTTGTTCGAGGGGGCTCCGACATGAGAGGGTCGATATCGGTGGTCGCGGATTCGACCCTCTATAGTACAATAGGGTGCCCTCTTATTCCGGTATAAGAGAGGGCTCCGATACAAGAGGGTCGAGGACCTTTGTCGCACGCACCACGCCCTTATGTTATATCGGAGCCACGGCTGTACGTACACGACACGGGCGATGACAAAACAGGCAAACCTTACCTTTCGCAGTACACCTACCTATCGGGTTCGATACAGTACGATAGTATCAACACCAGTATCGCTAGAGGGTCAGGACAGCAATTTAACGATCCATGGCCATTCTCCCGCACAAGAACACACCAGCACAAGCATGACGTCACACATTGACTTACGACACCTAGCACCACCCTTCGCACACAATACCAAATAAATCTCAGACACCCACGGTTATGTTTGCGGCCGGACCAGAGGAAGAAAAAAAAAGAAAAAGAGTGGCGGGCCGCGTGATGAGTGACTGACCTGCCCACTTGGCGCAGGTAGAGGACCGTCCCGTTGCTCAATCTGAAAATGCTCGCGGAATGATCGTCGTACGGTTCTTTACCCTCCTGTGCAAGGGGATAAAAAAACAGAACGGCATCGGAAGTATACACAGCAGTACAGAAAAAAGTGTGAAACAGAACAGCATCAAAAGAAAAAAGTATACACAACAGTACTGGAGAATGACAGGAGAGAGAATGACGTGAGGGTCAAGAATCGACTTTCTAAATAACCACGGCAACGGACAAAAAACACAGGGGGGGGGGAAAGGACGCGTATGAAGAAACGGATCAAAACCGCTTGAAACGCGGATGGCAACAGCAACAAGCACCAGAAACAAGGGCGGGAAAAAAAAAAAAGAAGTAGATGTGATTAACATGCGCACCCAAAACCCTCCCCTGACGTCGCAAGGCCATCAGTCCCGCCCTACACTACATTCGAGCAAGAAACGGAGGGAGGAGGGGCCATCTTAAGCCGAGTCGATGCCGATCGTGTGGTACAAGGGAAGCGGGAAAAAACGGTGTTGCTACCGAGAATTTATCGTACGCACACCGCCGCTGCGAGCTTTGGTCTGTGGTAGTTTTTCTGTGGTGCTCTGCGTAAGTTAGAACGTCTACGGAGCTTTGGGGGATATCGTATTCATTGTATTGTAACCACGAACAAGGTGGGGGCGTGCACAACGTTGAGGCTGTGTGTATCCAAGTGTCGTGAGAACAAGACTGTATACATGTATGCAGATTTGCAGCTTTTCTTTTTGGTTCGTTAAGGTTCGTAGGGGGCTCTTCGAGTCAAAAGCACGTCAGCTGTGTAAGCTTGGCAACCGTCACAATTCAAACTGGCAGCCTGGCAGCAAGCTTTGGGCTGGTCCTGCTGCTTTCATCTTGCATCACCTCTTGGTGATGATACTGCTGTAATCTCAGGAGCCCTCTCCGGAGGGGTAACTTAACTAGTACCAGGTATATGTCAAGGGTGTTTAATTATCTCACGAGGAGGGGAGAGAGACGGAGCAAAAAAACAAACCCTAGCCATCCATGACAACGGGAAAGAGCATCAGGAACAGCCCCAAGAAAAAAACGGCCACGAAAAAGAGGCCGGATCTATGCCAGGCTGGTGCACTACAGCTGTCCTTTTCACAAGAAAGAGGCAACCAAACCCTAACTTGAGAAGCGGAGAAAATACCCTATCAATCGATCGCAAAGCACAAATTCCTACATTAGGCAGAGAAAATACAAGAAATCAATCGCAAAACACCAAACACACAGGGGGGCCGCTACAGTACGTATCCACACACCCTCCTCCGCGCCCGCCCCCCCCCCCCCCCCCCACACCCCACCTCCTCCCTTTCCCCCTAAAATCCCCACACCTCCAACCCCCCCTCCAACATTTCCCAACCAAACTCCTAACTGGCCCTGTGGACGGGGTTTAAATCCGTCCCCATTTTCCCCCCCCAATAAACCTCCAAAAAGAACCATTTTTCCCTCCTGGCATTTTGCCTTTTTTTCCCCCCCCCCCCTAAATTAAAGGTTAACACAAACCTTTACTACATTTATCTACCTACCCCTGAAAAAAACTGCCCTGGGTAAACCTACCCCCACCCCCACACTGGTTTTAAACCCACCCAGGGGGGGGGGGGGGGGTACATTATTC